AAAAAAAAGTATTAAACAAGGCTAAGGAATAACCCATGTCTGGAAAAGCTAAAACAAAAATTTTGAATCCTAAATGATCCACTTAGTTTTTGAAATCATATTTATGTGTGCCACAGAAACGTACATTAGCAAATGTTTAAAGGATGCTGTTGATTTGATGACGTGGAGTGTTTCAAACTGTCAAGAAAACCAGGCATTTGTTTTGCAAATGCAGATACGCCTTTTTATTTGCATGCAGAAAATATAGAACATTTTCAGTAACAGTAGTCCCAAAGACACACCGGTGAAGAGCATCAACGTGACGTGATCCCAAATGAGAAACAGATGATTAGTTTTGCAACAAAAATAAATCTCCTGTAAACAAGTTGTAACATTTCAAGAGTTCATCTCTTATTTTCCAGAATCAGTACAATACTCTCTTATACTTAAGTTCTCCAAGAAAAGCGGTTTATGAAGCAATATCTTCTGTTGTAGGTGAGGTGGGAGGAGACGGGGTTTTCGGAGGTAAAGGTTCCCCAGGCGCCACCAAGAGAACATTGTTCTCTTTCTTGGGCAGCCAGACCGCCGGGTACAACGGCTCCAGGAACTCCGTCTGGTACTTGTGGATGAGCGTCATGGTCTCACCCACCCCGTAGAATGCCAGCAGGCCTTGCGTGTAGTCCACATAAACCCCAATACGACTAAACATCTCCACATTCAGGGGAGTTTCCACATCACAGTGCCAGGTGGAGAAGTTACGGCCATTCCACTGAAGGCACCAGGAGAAGCTGTTCCCCGTGATGCAGCTGTTGCTCTCGTTGCCCTTGCGGTCGATGCTCTTGTACGTGAGGCCAACGTGAGTGCTTTCACCTTGGATGTCTGCCTCAAAGTAGTGCCGGCCCATGTAGAAGCTCTCCACAGCCAGAACCTGACGGCAGTTCTCAAAGCGCTCGGGCACATCGGGGTAAGGGTGCTGCCAGGGCGAGGTGTTTGTCACCTTTTTGTTATCCTCCGTTAGGCGGAGGAACTTATGAGCCGTTGCGGGATCAAAGCTTACTTGGGCAGCATCTGCAAAGGATTGTTGAACATGTGAGTTTACTTATGTTATGCAACAAGACAGGCAGGAGAGCAAATAGCTGTCGTCCTCAAGATTACAGTGTAAACACAGATACTTCAAAACTACACTGCAATATGGCTGTTGTGCTATATTAAGTAGTTTTGTGTTAGCTAATTTATAGTTTATGTTTCAGTGGACTCACTGTAGATTTGCAAAGTTGTGACACCATGAGTGCAATGGGTTACCTGGTTGGGATGCTGGGAAACCATGAGGAAAACATAATGCAGTGATCAGAAAACCAAACTTCGAGTAGATTTCCATAAAATGATACTGCATTATGTTTACTGGCTTGTCCTAATTTTCTGCCATATGCATACTACTATAATGGTGGATGTCAATCAGTGCATTAATGTAATTCCATAATTCCCATGAGGGAAATTAAAAAGTTCCAATCCTGCCCTGAACACTCAGTTTTCTTTTATTTCTACTCTTGGCTCTGTATTATGTCAGTGGAAGGGAATATGAATAGAAGCTCCGCCCATGTTGTTGGTCTATTTGGTATTTTGAACAGTACATTTGTTGTGATAGCTTGGTCGGCATTATCAGCAAAAAGCCAGACTCGTTCTCGGTGGGTGCTGTTCTATGTTCCTACTGCCTGCTGTGGTCACAAGCTCCGAGTAGTGACAGAGAGAATGGATAAAACCTGTGGAAATGAGGGACTTGGTCATTTTGGGAGGGATTCAGAGTAAAGTCTCTATTTCTCTACATCCACAGGACCCACTTGAAAGTGGTTGGGGATCGCTCAGGATGCCTTCTGAACAAGGCCCGACAGCGTCTCTACCACCTCAGACGCTTGAGAGACTTCCGACTGCCCTGCAAGGTGCTCAGGAACTTTTACTCCTGCACCATAGAGAGCATCCTGACGGGAAGCATCTCAACCTGGTTCGGGAACAGCACCATGCAGGACAGACGAGCTCTACGGAGGGTTGTGCGATCAGCCGAGCGCACCATCCGCTCCAAGCTCCCTGACCTGCACTCAATCTACAGCAGGCGGTGCTGGACCAAGGCCAGGAAGATCATGAAGGACCTCAGCCATCCCAACAACGGACTGTTCTCTCTGTTGAGGTCAGGAAAGCGATTCTGCTCCCTGAAGACCAACACAGAGAGACTGAGGAGGAGCTTCTTTCCGCAGGCGATACGGCCTCTCAATCACACCACCACACAGTACTGACCCACACATATGGTTCTTACACACACACTGGACATTCTGGACATTTGTTTACACTAGTAACTACACAACTGGACAGTTTACTGGACAGTTTACACAACTACACTGCGTGGTCATCAAATCAAATCACTTTATCACAAGTCACTTAAATAAATCATTTTTAAGCATATTTGCACTGCACAAGACACTTAAATATGTGGATACAACCCTGGACATTACATTTCTTTCATTACCATTTATTACTCGTACAGCTGCTCTTATTGTTCTATATTCTTCATATATTCTTATATATTTTCTATATTGTGTATTTTGTGTATTGTGTAGTTTGTTGTACAGTTATTTTATTTTTAACTTTAATTTTTATATTTTATTTTATTCATTCCTAGTTAAATTTACCCTTTTTAATTTTCATATTTATTTCCTATAGTTGTTTTTATTATTAATATTTATTTATTTATTTTATTTATTTATAAATATTTTTAATTTATTTTATATTATTATTTCCTATAGTTTTTTTATTATTACTATTTATTTATTTATTTTATTTATTTATATTTTTTTTATTATTTATTTTATATTATTATTTCCTATAGTTATTTCCATAGTCTTTTATTTTAGGTCACAAGCAGTTGTCTAAGCATTTCACTGGATATCGTACTGTGTATGACTGTGTATGACTGTTTATGTGACAAATAATATTTGAATTTGAATTTGATTTGAACTCCTAGGTCAGCATGCCTGGGCATTTCCTACTGGAGGGAGAAGCTGGGGTAGACCCAGGACACTGCTGCTTGTGGTCTTCATGAAATTTGCCTCCTTGCCAAAACCCCATATTCATTATAGTTTTAAAATAAAAGACAGACTATAAGCACATCCAAGGTTGTTTTTTGGTTCTGGAAGCACATTGTTTGCTACTCACAGTTCTTAACTACAGAAATACTTACACTTTAGAAAGTCCGCCCGTGTCACCGGATCTGGAAGAGACTTGATGTGTTTTGCTGCAGCAATAGCCTTTACTGTTGTCTTTATTCCCACTTTGTCTGCAAAAAAAACAAGCCATATTTTAGTGTCTCATAAGACAACATGTTTAGATTTCTCTTTGTAAATTTTGTTTTTATTATGCACAAAAACGTTCTCCAGGGCAACAGGTATGTGCTGTCGTTTCATTTCTTATGGAGGCATATTAATGACTAGCAAAGCAGTTTCATCATGAATCATACATCCTGCTCTTGCTCAAGCACAGCTAAAAATTCTTTACAAGACTGAACCTGCCCC